TATTGCAACATGCCGAAAAATTCCCACAGTATTTGAACTGTCGTGTAACTTTCGAACGTGAAACTCATCGAACAGGCATGGACTCGAAGTAACCACATTCCGAACATTGCAACAAAATGACTTCGGGTTTACTATGATTGACCATTCGAAAATTGGAAGTCAACCGGGAGCCCAGCATTATAAAAGGACCTGTCTGCGCCAGAAATTCGAGTTATGTTGTGTATTGGGCAGTATGCGCTCTATATGTGTAGTAGACGTTCGTATGGGTTCTTGTGTAATGACTCGCTAAGCGGCACAACGTAGACGAAGTGGACCGTCGGACCCGGCAGCCACCGACGCTACAACTTGCTTAACTCGTCGGAATACAGCCAAATTAAGCCTGGCGATCGCGCATGCATTTTCTATCACAGCTGTACGTTGATTCTAAAGCATGTGGCTGTTTACTTTCTCCGATGTTAGCTACGGTAAGGGATGTCATTGTAACGAATAAATTCATGATTGATATCAAGGTCGATGATCGGAATAGGCGCTTTCCGAGGTTCCATCATCCAATTCAATTACGTATTAATGAACGCGTAACGACATATTTAGACTCAAAGTTCATAAGCTTACAGACAACGGAGCGAATGATAACCCTCGGCGATTGCGACACTTCCAAGTGAACATACTTCTAATAAGTCGGATTATCCACGCAAACATTCAATCCCGCTTTTCATTTGTTGTGCGACAGTAGAATTACCGCGCTGATGTACAGGAAAAGCCGGTTGTCGTAAATCTTAGAGGATACTGTCATTAGTTATTTTCAACTCTAGAGAGTGCTCGTGAGAACGAGCTCTGATGGACATTGCAGAAGTACCGTGCAGATCCAACTGAATTATATCTTAACTCTGTGGATAGCTTATGATGATGACAAAGCAACAGTAGCATCAGATCCTTGATTAGTCTGCGCACATTTCAAAAAGGATCTGCAATAACACTAGTTCCACTGTATCTGCTTTGCTGGGAAGTTTCTGAATTGAATTTTTTTCTCACGCGTCTTTGCCCCATATTATTCACCCGTTGCCTCGAACCTGCAGATACCCACGTCGAACCCTTCAACAGCTTTCCTTCATTTCTTACACGTACACAGCCAAACCCTTATGCTTCTGCCACCCTGCGGTTTGTTAACTTTACTGTAATACGATTGCTTGTCGACAGCCTTGATGATGGATTATGTGCAAGAAGCCAAAACTTTGCAACAGACAGAAGTAACAATCGCTTAAGAGGTGGGCAATTTCAATTTTCGCGGAAATTACCTTCCGAAATCATTCCATCGTTAAGTAAATTTAGCAAAGAAACAACAGGTTAAAATGTTTCGACTAAAACTTGCAAAAAGGTAATCTGGAAATTGCCAGTGGAGTGCCTGAAACAACGGCAGAATCCGTATTACGGCGAAGTTCTGTTCGATATGAAGTTTCACTAAAGCGAACAAATAGAAAACGACGTGACGTAGGCTCTGACTTCTGCTGATGCTCTGCTTCAAAGCTGTCACTGGAAGCGAACATGGAAAAAAACATCACTGAGTGACAAAATTTATTCACAAAGCAGTTATTCAGACAATTTTTCACGGTTCCGTCCCACCCGGCATGCTGCGAATAATGTCCGAATTGCCTGTACAAGTAATTAACGAATAAATTAGTGACTATGCGTAAAGAAAAGTAACGCTGAATCGACCTACCTGGGTCGGTGATGCCTAGCGTGCACACGCGAAAGTACTTGCCACACGCGGTGCCCAATTCAATGTTGTTGCCGCTGTAGTGATGGACGCCGGTCTTTGCGAGCATCGCATAGTACTCGATCTCACTTTTCCTGAAAACACTGGAAGTTGCGCAACACAAAAAGATATCTTCACAGACAAACCTAAGTGGTGGAGTGTTGTTAGCCAAAACAATCAGCTTCGCCTTGCCGTTCCTCAAAACCTTTAGCGTCTGGTTATATCCGAGCACATACTTGCCACTCTTCATCACCAGAGCCAACCTCGCATTCATGCTTTCGAGCGCCTTTTTCTGAAAGAAACAAACGCTGATATGACGAAGGACAAAATAAGTAGTAGGTAAATCATCTGCATAACCACTGTTGAAAAAAAATCAGTGAACTGAAAAACATGATTGTTATAAAATACCCGTCACAGAGGACGATTCAAAGAATTTACGGCAATACAGGTAGAAAAACTGAATTTGAAGTATCTGAACTGCGTGAACCTTGAAAATGGTGTCCATGATGTAACAGTCAGCCGAAACCTTAAAGCAAATCTGAGAATTCCGAGCATCTGTTTAAAGTAAAGAAAGCCATGAAACAAAGGTCAACATGTTGAAGTCACATACTTTTAGGCTTAAATACACTGTCGCTCATCAGTTGTCGCAAAGAACTGCAACTCTGCGGTTTTGGTCATTATTTGTGCACAGTCAAGAAGGGCGCCTTACCAACATCAGTGACTGGCCGTAGTAGAAAGGTTGGGCGAATACGTTTAGTTTCAGACTGCACCTTTCGGATAACCACACCCCAATATCAGAAATAGAGATGTAAGTAATAACGCAAAAACACAAATCTGAATGAGTTCTCGATGAGAAGTGAAGCTTTAAATAACTGTTTCTAATAATCTCTACCCAACGAGTGTATTAGGTAACACCAAGATAAATGCTGACTTATGCCAATATTCGGTAAGTAATAAAGATAGCACCGTAGTCAGTGAGGTCGGAAAATTGAACTACTAAATTCAGTTAAGAAACAGGTAACCAAAATTTCATAAAGGTGCACAAAGCACTGCATTATTTACCATGACTGCAAAAAAGTCATGCCCACAATTCATATTTTTGTTTCCTTGCCTGCAGTTGCATCCTGACAATTACATCATATGCAAATCGTGATATCTAATTCGATCCACTGAGGAAAGACAGCAAATCAAACAAATACCTTCCCGAACGATCCTAATAACCGCGCTCATCCGAAATGAACTTGTCGTATGAATATTAAATACCGAAATCTAAGTTCCACGAAACTTTCTAAGTCAATTCCAGAAGAATCTAATCACAACTTCCCTAGAAGAATACCAAAAATTATAACCAGAAACACCCTGGACACCCTGGTACAAGGAGCAACTGCAATGAAATCCACGCTAGAATTTGGCTGTAACGGCGTTAAACCGTAAACTTTCTTTCCGGCGCAGTCACAGATCCGCTAAACAGACGAAGTTGATTGCCTCAATTAAAGATGAAATTAGAGCTATTTAAACTGATCGCGATTTTTGTTTTTCTCAACAGAACCCTGCAATCCGCATGAAGATAAACTGCCAACTGATTGACTGTCTCCCGCTGCTCATAGCCTACATTGCAACATCAACAAATAAACCTCGAATCTTAAAGCCATGGAGCTAAGATTCAGAAGCATAAGACCTCATTGTGCAGTATGCAATTTTTATCGGTTTTCATATACACGTGAATGGTAAATGCTAATTCCTTAAAGATGCCATAGAATATCTTAACACATGTTTATTCTGGAATGGATGTATGAATCATGGCCTGTTTAGCCGCTACAAAAGTGGCGAAGGCGTCTGGCGAACCCGGAGAGCAGTCGATCGGGCTTTGGCGAAATCGCTGAGGAGGTGAACATCCTTCACTATCCACTTGCCTGTTCAATTACGAAATCACTTAGAGATGCCTGCCAGTAAAAACCCATACGGGTTACGGGTCGATATGTGCTCAGCAGATATTTGGTTCAGGTAATGCTGCTGATAGGAAAAATTGCTGAATCAGGAAAGCACGAAGAAAGCAAAAGAAATGCGTCAGTGCCAAAAATTCATTAGTGTTAACGGTGCAAAAGTTTTCGTAATGAAACAGATGAGGGACGGCTTCAAAATCTGTGTAATCACAGTTCAGACGTTTCATGTGTTGCCACATCTCCGAGGATCTTATGCTGCTAACATTTACGTACAATCGCTAAAAGCAAAGCAACAGACGCAAAGAAAACATCTACCTTCCAGGACCATAAGGAAAGAAGGTTGGTCAACGTTGGAATATCAGACTTTCTTCACTTTCATGACTAGACAATTCTAACGCCTTTCTATTCATGAAGCTGATGGTTCGATGCAGATCTCCGTTTTTATGCCACCAGCCATGAGTGCCTTATTTTTAAGGCAGAGTCTACAGCCATGCGGCAAGCGTAGTGTGTAGTGTCCTGTTTCCTTCCTTCGGAGTAGCACTCATTTATCAACCTCGAATAGAAGAAAGGCATGCGACACTAACCGGGGCTTGAACTCAAAACCTTTCGGTTCTGGCGTTCGACGCCATAATGTTGAGCGACCTCGGTCTATGACCATAATTAGAAATGTGAATAAGCGACATGATAGGATAAACTGTCATGGGAGCTCAGAGAATGCCAAAAAACTCTAGTCATCGACTATTATCAGCATCGCAACTCCAGGTTAACTTCGTTAATACCAATATCAGTATGGTTCGAATAATCACAAACTGTCGTTCCCGCATTTGGTGGGAGACCAGGTCGAATAGACCCTAAAATTTTCCAAAATGGGTGAGAGTAGAAATGACCACAACCATATCTCGTCTATGGTGTGCTTTCAAACAACCACTCCAACATCGTGCCTTGCTTGCATACATCATCTGGCACTGATCTTTTAGATGGCATTCATATTCATACAGATTAAGTCAGGTCGCGATATAGTCTATCCCTATCTCACCCCCTCCCCACGATCGAGGGGGTAGCAGCATCAGACAATATCACCAACGGTTACGACTTTGCACCAGTACCTGAAGGTTAACAGGACATATTCCGAGTGTGTAACGAAGTTCACTCGCGTATTTTTCCAAAGGCACTTTGGGTCCTCTTCGTGGTCTCTTGCTTGTAAATCGAGTAGGGAATAGCTGCTTGAACATACTCTATGTGGTATTCACAGGACATGCCCAAACTATCATAAATATGAACTCTCAGCATAAATATGGGTTCTATGCTTAAACCAAAAACATTTAAGGGAACCTTGAGCGGTCAAATGTACAGAAGTGGTGTAACTATCAAACTGGATACAGAGCGAACATTCACTGATAAGGTAGTTAACAGTTTAGTCATCGGCTAAGTGCATTATATCGCCAATGCAAGTTTCTAGGTCTCGGTTTGGGCATCTGTAGATCTTTGCGTCATCCTGTTTTACGCGACCATAAGGGACCGTATCTTTCTCGGCGGACATCCTCGCATAGTTGTAGCAGGGAGCGAACGATCATTAAAGTAAGGGATTGTTCGGCAGGGTGAAACACAGTGGGGACTGTTCCGCTTTTGCTGCAACGGTGACAGTGAAGACCTGTCGCGAATCCCGAAACGGTCGGGCAACGAAGCTCAGAAGGATTACTGCAGAATCCTAACTGGTGTTCATAAGCATCCAGTTGCTGGTCAGCTTGTTCAACTAGTCGGCAAATGAGCGCTTCATGGACGCCAACGGCGACCTCACGTTTACAAGGAAGCACCTGCTCACACTAGAATAACGCAGCTGTTCTACCGCGTTCTACGTTTCCAGCGTTCAAAGGACACATTATAAAAGGACAACTCAACCAGAAGAAATATAAACTTAAACTACTACACAAGGATTTCCGCCCCCGGCTTGTCAACGTGGTGGTCCAAAAGCATTCTTCTGATTGGCGCAACGGTCTGTCGATCTCGATCGTATGATGAGATGATGAGCGATCGAAAACAGGTTGAAGAACGGTGGAATTTCGAATAAGATGCTTATTACATACTTTAGTCGTGTCACAAAGTCTTCGTCGGCTGTGGGTATGTCTCGGTTTCGCGAAATACAATGAAAGAGCAGCCATAATTTCATTCGCAAAAATTTTTGACTACTCCTTCACATAACCGGCATCCGGGATTAGCCGGGCTTACCAGAGAGATTCGCCATTTGGTGCTGAACGTTTGGAGGATGGATGCGCGACTAGAAGTTAAGGTGTTTGGGTAGACCTAATTGCCCCTGTAATTCTGCATCACTGAGTTTAGCGACGCATCTCCTTTGCTGGATGGACCTTCCTTGGCCAGACTATAGGCTGTACTGGTGAGTTTCTGAATGATG